GCCGCGAGTGGAGGCAACAGCGGTTGAGGAGGTGAGTTTAAACGGATAATTCTCATTAACTCATTAAGAGCTGCTTCAACTTCGGCATCATTAAACTTCCTCTTCACCACAGAAGCATGGAGCTGTAGCACAGGTAGCTAGTCGTCAGCTGATGTCTTAGTTTTTCTAACCAACGCCACGATTCTTTTGTCTTTTTTTTCCCCGGGACAGGCTTGCTCAACAAAGTTGGAAGCTTCTTGTCGTAGAAGAACCCAGCAGAGCGGATCTTCTTTCAGCTTCATCAAACCTTCAGCTCCTATCCTAATAATTACCTTCAATATTTACACATGATTTGTGACACTTGATGATTTCAAATGTTGCATCACATTTGGGGTTGAGAAAAACTTGTAGTAAATAAAGTAAACAACAACAACAAAAGCAATAAATCTGATTAAATACGTTGAAACATGAATGAAGATGTCGTGTGTTTTCTTCTGCTGGTTTCTTGAACACCTTCTGCTGTCCTACATTCAGCTCAAACTGAGGCTCTGATCTGAAGAACTGCAAAGAAAACAAACTTATTGACTTTTTCCAGAGACGCTTGTGGTTTTAGTGAATGTTGTTTATGAATCAACAAATAATAAAAACACCCACGTGTGAAATGAGAACGTTCATTTAGATTAATTAAAGATAACGACATGAAACGAACCTGAAGAGGAATTCATGGTAATTAAGTGCGTGCTCGTTAAGCTGCCAGGCTGTGGTTCGTTGTTCGCCCTGCAGCGCTCTCATTAAACACTTCTCTGCACGAACAAATCTCACACCCAGAGAAAACCTCAAGTCCAAGACGTTCTCCACATTTCAGCTCCAGAAACTCCGTCACATGTGAGTTGCAGAAACGTTTCTCTGTAGTTTTACGTCTGTTACGATGTGAAGCGCCGCCTCAAACAAACCAAGACAACAGCAACGTAATGTGAATTTCTCACAAAACAGACAATATGCATTAAATTTCAAAAACAAGTTCACAAAATGCTTTGAACACCTGCACCGAGGAGGCAGGGCAGCTTATCTGGTGCCTCTGGGGCAAAGTCTGGGGCAGAAAACCATCTGAATACTGGTGGCTGCGTCTTTACAGTAAGTGGAAATGTGAGCATTTTTCCTGGAGAATTATCTGAAAATAAAGACCTAAAGGCAGTAAATTATTCAGTTAGAGCTCATTAATTACTTAAATATATTTAAAACACTAAAAGATGTAGAACCAATAAGTCAGAATATACTGAATTAGAGATGAATGACCTCAATGTGTGAAAGTAATTCGTCCTTTTACGTCAACAAGTCAATCAGTTGTCATAAATTAATCTGTATTATAACAGCTCCTAGTTATTCATTTATATATAAACTATCCAGTGAATTATACAGTCACAGAATGAGCTTTTATTACTAAACTACATAGCTTCCATGCTAACTAGTGTGCTGCCGTTTACTGCTTTAGCAGGTTAGCCAACGTTAGCAGCGCTAACTGCGCTAGCAGCTAACGCTAATCGTTAGCTCCTTATTAGTCTTAATTTTAGCTCTGACACGTTGGTACACTGACACAGTAAGCCATAAAACACAGGAAAACGTGAGACAACATTCTTATAATTCTGAATGGTTTCTGGACGTGAACAAAAAGTATATTTCATCCCTGTTCTCGATCACGGCTAGCAGCTAACTAGCAAAACTTCAACTCACCAGAGATTTAGCTGCTCTGAACTCGACAGCTTGATTCAGGTATTTCCAACTTTAAAATCAACAAAGATGTTTCACTGCATTATGATCCATCTGAGCATCTTTTTAAAAAAAGATATTTTAAAGATATTGCACATAAAAACAGCAAATCACTGGTTTGTCTGTGAGGAGCTTTCAGCCCTGAGTTCAGTCTACAGGCTTCCTCACCGAGCGGGTCAAGAGCCTGAGAGGCAAAACCTCCGCCAGGCTGGATTCTACTGACTGTGTCTTCAAAGTGAGGGAGAGCTCAACCTTTCACAGCATCGTCTGATTAATCATGTGTTTGAGCGTCTCTAAAGGAGAATTATCTGTAAATGAAACCAGATTTTATCCTTAAATGCAGAACAAGTTTACAAAATGCTTCACAGACAAACCAGCAGGCAGGACTTTAGAGCTACGACCTCCACAGCGTTGTCTCTTCCTGATAATCTGTTCATCTTTAAAGGAACGCTATCCTAATAGTTTTTAATTTACCCCAAAATGCAGATTGTTAGAGGAGCCTGTTTTTTTGCCCTGAGTTGCGTCTGCAGGCTTCCTTGCAGGTTGTACAAAGCCACAGAAACATGCAAAAAGAATGTAGTTGGACCTTTACAGTCAATTTCACCAGCTGATGAGTTTTCTGTTTAGGAGAATAATCTGTATATGAACATTTTTTGCAGAGCTGGAGAAGTGTTTTCAGCCCTGAGCGCGGTCTGCAGGCATCACGGGCGACACATGTTACCTGTAAGGCAAAATCCGGGGAAAACATTGGTGCAGGTGGATCTTGGTGCTCGGACGGTGAGCGTTTGGCAGTCTGTTGGTGAATAAACAACACCCACACCCATCCCCGGGGTCATTACTCTCCTGCCTGGGCTGAGCTGGGTTGTATCATAAAAATGTACGATTAAAGTTTCACCGTGAGTCACGTTTCTTTTCACACAAAGGGTGGAGACGGACTCATCGCACGCACACACACACACACACACACACAGCGTTCATTCTTTTCATTGTTCCTCCGTAACACGACCGACCTGTTTGGGCAGCATCGGCTCCTGTTACAGCAGCAGCACCTGCAGTCACAACTCAGGGCTCCAGATGCCCAACGCGCCTCACAGTCGTTGCTGAGGTCACGAAAGAACAAAACACAAAGTCTGGTTGCACCGACCAACTCTGAGCAGGCGTTTTGTTGTTAGCTAGGAAGCTACACCTGCATCCCAACATAGTTAATTATGCGTCTTAAATCATTTTGCGTCTCTTTTATGGAGTTTTGTGGATTTTTAGTCGTTTCTCATCTCGTTGTGGTCGATTGCGTTTAATTTCAGCCACTCGTTCTGTAGTTTTGTGTCTGTTTGTCTGCACTGTAAAGGATTATTCTTATTATTCTACTGTCAATATGTAAATAAAGACTTTTAAAAATGATTTTATTGGACATTATGTGCAATTTATCAAAACTCCAAAAGTTAAAAAAAAAAAATCTTTCAAATAACAGCAGATGTCTGTAAAATAACCACATTTTTGCTGATTTAAATACAAACAGCGTTAATTTTACAAACACCAACTGTGAAAATACAGATGTGGATTTTGACGTGGACATTATTTTTTTGTTTTTGCTAACATATAAATTATTGTTTTTTTCTGTGATTCGAATGACAGGAAAGTGTTCAAAACAGTTTTTTAAAAAGAACATTTATTTTCTGGAGTGTAAGAACGTGACAGGCGGAAGGAAAAGTAGTTCCCATCAGCCCAATTAAAGCCACATCCTGCTGGTGTCCGATCTGTTTTCTGCTGTGTATCCTGTCGCTGATTAAAACACACGAGTCTGAATATCGATCTTCTGAGGATCAGTCCCGTATCGGTTGCCATCGATCCGCCCCTCGTTAATCACTGCAGCTGCGGCTCCAGGTGAGGTCAGAGCTCGGCAGGTGGAACAGGTAGAGCCTGTCTGCAGACACACCTGAGCCTCCGCAGACGCCTGACAGAGCTTCAGTATCACCTCCACCTGCCGGGACGCACTCCGCTACGACGCTTAGACATGAACTTAGGAAAGATCATCGGGGAAAAAGTGGGTGAGTAGAGAAGTCTGGGCATCACATTTGTGTTTGTATTTAAAGGCTGGAGCAGCTTCACCTGCCCTCAGGTGGAAACCCTTCGTCTCCTCAGTGGTCTGTTGTTGGTGGAACTGATTGAGAACTACATAGAAATGTGTTTTTGTGGCAGGTTTTACTGAGAAAATCCAACTTTCTGGCTGATGTGAGGTTCAAATGTTCTGATTGGACAGATTCTGAAGAGTCCTACTTCAGTGTCTGGACTCCTTCCTGCTGCTCCTACTTTCCTGTTTGACGCTGAACAGCATGTAAACGCCTCAGAGCTCTGATTAAAAGTCAAACCACTGATACACAAACATTTTAACATCACATCCAGACTGTTGTGACCGCCGTGGAAGTCACCATTAAATGGTTTGATTATTGATCAGCTGCTGATCGGAGCAGGAACGTCACAAACCAAAGCACTGGACCAACTTTGACCTGATGTCGGGCCCCGGTGTCCCTGTCCTGCTCGTTTCTGGTCACGTGATGTATTTTCTTTGATTTAATTACCGGTCATGTGGATCCATACCAGATTCTATCCACATATCTACAATTTTAGCATCAGTTTGCGTGCATATGGCCACCCTAACCTTAACCCAACCGCATTTTCTGCTCCCAAATTGGACCACACAAAATCAGTACATGTTAAATTGCATTCAAATATCTGCTAATTCAGCTTGGATGGACATGCAGGTGAAGGCTGCTGTGTTTCCTTTTGACAGGTGATGTGAAGCCACACCAAACTCCATTCAAATATTTGTGCATTTTACTCTAATTTGCATGCACGTGAACACCGATTTTGTAATCGCAGGTAGGGCAGCTAATTTGAATCCGCACCAGACTCCATTCAAATATCTGCTAATTTAACATCAGTGTGCATGCAGGCGACCAGCAGCACATTAATGTGTTTTCTGATCTCATGTAAGAACAGATAATGTGCATCCAAACCAAACTCCATTCAAATATCAGTCAAATTTATACACACACATTTTTAATTTAAATCAGTGGGTAAAACAATGATCTCTTACAGTCTGATCAACATCTTAAATGCAGCATTTAGAAACCTGGATCAGGTGTTTAAATGCAGCTGTGGGCCTTTTTCTGTCACAGGCCTTCAGCTGGGAGATCCAGGTTTATCCAGACAGGGGTCAGGGCTGGTCCAGGTTTCTGAAATTCACATGAGAGATAGATCCACATATGCCTCAAGTTTGCTCCTGACAGATCAGAGAATTTGAATTCAGTCAGATAATTAGTTTCAGGTAAACTTGAATTTATTCTTAATTGGTTTTAATTGTTGTCCTGTAAAGTCACACATCGGACCTCGGTAGGCTCGTCTCATGTCCGAAAACCTTCAACGGGGGACAAAATCCTCCAGAAGAACAGCAGGAAAATGGAGTTACAGAGCATCACGTTAGATTTAAATTACACTGATGACTGTAGATTTTCACGAATTCATCTGAAATCACAACGCGATGCTGTTTGTCGTGCAGGAGAATTGGTGGCGGACGCAATAACAGACGCTCTGGGCGGCGACAAGGACGAAGATGATAAGAAAGGAGGATTCCTCTCCATGTTTGGTGGTGGTGACAAAGACGACGACAAGGACAAGGACAAGGACAAGGGAGGCCTTTTTTCCTTTGGAGATGACAAGAAGAAGGACGACGACGACGACAAAGGAGGATTCTTCTCAAAAATCTTTGACAGAGATGACGACAAGGACAAGGTGCCGAAGAAGTCGGGGTTCCAAGGTCTCTTCATCGAACACGGGATCGAAGGCGCTGCCGGAGGGAACGATGGGGAATTCGGGGGAGGAAGTGAAGACATTGGAAGATTTAAGGGGCAGAGTGTAGCTGTGAGTGATGGAGGTACGTAGGAAGAGCTTTTCCACTTCATGTTGTCACTGCACCACATCTGCCTGCTTCAGCTGCTGACCTTCAGATTAGAAAATAGATTTAAAAAACAAACAAAAAAACATTTCAATCAGCGTCTTTAAGTGGTTAAAAGTTCCTCCAGAGAGCGACTTTCCCTCCATATTTATCACATAGTTTAATTTATGAATTGCAATTCTACAAATTTCAAGGTAACACCAAAAGTGAACTGGTTTAGCTGCAGCTCAGAGGTGTTTCTCTGGTACGGTCGTGAATTCAGTGTTTATGAAGGACGGGTTTCAACACTTCCATCACGTTATCGTGCAAAGTGTAAATTCATCATATAAACTTAACACAACTCAACACAAAATGAAGGCGATCAGGCTTCTTCTCAGTGCTAACAGCAGGTTAGCTACTGGAGCTAACGCTGCTTTTTTTTTAAAGGATAGTAAAAAAAATTAAAAACCAAATGTCTATATATATAAACTATTTAAATACTAATAAAGGCAACAGGCAACAATGATGCTCAGGCTAGCTTGTTTGTGTGTTTGTTAGCGTCTGATGGTCATTTTAAACAAAAGAGCATAAATTCGTCAAAGATATTTATAAAAAAATTAATTACATCTACAGAGGAGTTCATTTATTTTAATTATGAACTGGTCACTGTTGCATTCAGTGATCAGTATTGAACAGAAAATGTTATTGAACAGGAGTGCTGGTTAGTGCTAACAGCAGGTTAGCTACTGAAGCTAACACTGCTAATTATTTACTGACTCTCTTTAGGAACACTTGACTGCCTGAAATCTTCTGGTTTCTGTTTTGTAGAACTTATATCAACTGTTGTGTTAATTTTGTCACAAAAACAACGACTTAGCCGCTAATAACGGCACCAGACAACAAGCTAATGCTAATTTTCCCGCATGTGTTTGTTAGCTTCTCATGCTACAGTCACTTTTAACAAAAAAGGCAAAGTAATAACCATAAATTCATCATAAAAAGTTGTAAAAATGGACTAGATCCACAGAGGAGTCCATTTATTTTAATTAATAACTCTTAAAACTTTGTTTAAGATGGATATAACACTAAAAAATATGAGCTAACAGCAGGTTAGCTGCTATAGCTAACACTATTAATTATGTAAGACTAGTCAACAAAGTGTTATAGCTGTAGTTACTGATTACTTCTTCAAAAAAAGGTCAATTAAATAATTTCTGTGTCCTCTTTTATAAAATGATTATAGCTATGTTTCCTAACAGTTTTGAGGAGCTTTCATAAAAATGAAGCACAAATTTTAACCAAATTTGGATTAAAAATGGCAAAAAAAAAAAAAGAAGTAAATAAAGATATTTTTTGTGTGTTATGGGACTTTTCTCTAAGCTTTCATAGATGTAGGTTTTGGGGGTGGATGCACAAGACAAGAAAACTTGCTGTGCAGGAGATCAAGTGTTCTGAATTGTCACCGTGTGCCAGAATTTATTGTTTTCTTTACACCAATAAAGACATTTGCACCATAAACTAATGAAAAAAACAAACAAATTAATACATAAAAGTCGCCAGAATGCAGGTAAACAAGTGTTTGATGTTCAAAATGTTCAGCTTAAGTAGACAAGCAGAAGGATTTAAAAAAAACAAAAAAAACAGAACTATTTCCAAGATGTAGTCCAGTACATCCATCCATTATCTATACACCGCTTAACCCTCACTGGGGTCGTGGGGGCTGCAATCAGTTACAGTACATGGTCATCGTATTTGCAGCTTTCCAACACTGATGGTTTTTCCCAAACTTGTAGGTATAAACTCAGTTGGGCTGAATTCCTGCAGTAATCGTTGTCTTGTGTTTGTTTCAGATTTGTTTGACGATCTGATGGACGTGGCAGAAGAAACATCTAAAGGGGATTAAGATGACAGACCTGGAAACCACATCCTCATGAAAACCTGATTCTGCTGAAGGTCCGACTCATCTGAAAGAACTCAGAGGAGATTTCCAAAGACTGAAAAATCTAAAATATTTCTTAAAATTTACTACTACTGTTGTCCCTTAAACAGCGTCTGTATTTAAGTGGGTTGGAACGCCTTAAACAACGTCCAGTAACCGTCTGTTGTGACATTTAATGGAAATATATACGATTGTAAATGTATTAAAGGAAAAGGTCAGTATAAAAAGAAAATATTCTTCTTCTTTCTCAGAGTCGCATCAGCCAGGACACAGTTAGCCTAGCTTAGCACAAAGACTGGAAGCAGAGGGAAACAGCTAGCATGGCTTCTTTCAACACTCACTTACCAAAACTTGTAAAATCCACTGAACACACTTTAACTCGACTGTTTTACACACATAGAAATGTAAAAACCATTGCGAGCTATACGCTAAAGCTGTTTCTTAAATACTAACCATGTCCTGAGAGACTGCTGCACCTAATAATTACTAATATTTCCTAAAAGGTTGAACTATTCCTGACTTTATATCCAAATATCCAACGTTGTGTAAGTTGACATCAGCTAGCATAGCTTAGCCTGCCAGAAACAGCTAGCATAAAGCAAGGTAATAATTAATCTTATGCTTGGTGCGTTTAAACAGCTAGCAGGACACAGCTAGCATAGCATAAATGCCCAAACGGCTAGTATATATTTCATTACATTTATACAATAATGCTAGTTGATGTTAGCTTATACTCTATGCTAATCAGTGATGCTAATTGCTGAACTCTGTATGTAAACTGTTGTGTACATTTCTGTCTCTTCTTCACGTCAAATTAAAACATTTTATTGCAGTTTAAGCACAAATTATTTCCTTTTTAGAGTCGGAGGCTTTGCTTTCAAACTAAATCTGATTTCAGTGTTTTGTATCGAAAACGACTCAGAAATGTCCAAAGTGACAAAACTTGTTGAAAACTAGTTAATGTGTCCGAAATGGCATAAGTTTGTCCAGAATAGCTAAAAAAAAATGGTCCAAAATATTTTGAAATTCATCCAAAAAGTGTCCAAAATAACTTGAAGCTAAACCAAAATTACCTAAATTTGTCCAAAATGACTCATAATTTGTCAGTAATGTAAAGCTTGTCCAAATAAACAACTCCAAACCTTCCCAAAATGACACATATTTGTCTAATATGATTGAAAAATGTCCTAGTTTTACATTTAGATCATTTTTGTAGTGGCCACTTCTTTATGCTTATTTCAAGAAAACCTTTTAGGTCAGTTTTTGCTCATAACTGACATTAGTTTTGCTTTAAAGTCGTGTATTTCTCTTGTTAACAGAATATTTAGAGTTGAGTCTCATACTGACTCTTTAACTCTACAAACTAATGGAACTAATTCATTCTGCAGCTTTAATGTCTCACATTAGAGCAGGTAAACACACTCCAGTCCTTCCAGTCTTGCTCTTGTGTTTTTGGTTTGGTCAATAAAACGGCCCTGAGAGTCTTGAAAAGCAGCGTTTCAGATCCAGTCGGACGTGAACGAGGCTTCATGGAGCTGATGGAGGTGGAGGTCATCCGGGGAACTGAAGGTCCAGCAGCGTGAAGTCCTGACTGATGGCGACGCTGTTCTCGTCGCACAGGAAGTGGCTCCGGATGGTGATGACGAAGGTTTTCCTCGGCAGGGAGAGGAGGGTCTGGAGCCTCTGTGCTGCCACCTGGATGTGCTTCACCTCAGAACCTGGAGCTGAAGACAAACCAACGGTAAACAGCACCGTACCCGACAGTTTGATAGAAAGACGATCCACATTTGATTTATCATATCGGCGTACATTTAAAATATCTGTGAAGGCAAAAAACTAACATCTGCAAAATAATCTGACTCTGTTTAAAGTAAAATCAGTCCAAACACAACATGAGCTGATCTACAAATCAAAGTTTTCCCCTCATGAGTACAGCGAGCTGCCGGTTTGTTTTAACTCCACCATCTGACTCTGTGATTGGCTGAGAGGACAGCAAACATGTTGGCGATGGTTCAGGAAGCTGGAACAACACGATTAACCAGATTTTTACGGCATAAACAATGAACAGTGTCCTTGTTCTTTGGAAAAAAGTAAACGTCACATGAAATTACAGTAAGACTGAGAACAACTAACAGCATCGTGTGTTTCAGAAGAGAACATAAACTTCACAAATAAAGAGAAAATTACATCAAAGAAAACCAAAAACACCAAAAAGGACCCCAAAAAAACCACAGATACAATAAAAAGTGCACAAAAAACACATGACAAAGACAAAACGACAGTAAAGAGATGCAGAACTGCCACAAATAAATGCAAAAAGACAAGAAAAATGACACAAAGAGACACACAAAGACCACAAAGCAACACAAAACCACTGCAAAGAGATGCAAGATGACCAAAAACACACAAAAACAAACAACTGATACAAAAAATGTCTCTTAGTGCCACAAAAAGACAGAAAACAACCTCAAAGAGAAATAAAATGAACACACACAGACACCAAATGACAACTAAAGACACACAAAACGGGTACAATACAACCACAGAGAGACACACAACAACAACCAAAGCATCACGAATGACCACAGAGACACTTAGAATGAAAACAGAGGGAAAGATGATGAAAAATGACCATAAATGGATTCAAAAATACCACAAATAGACTCAAAATGACAACTTAAGACAAACAAATGACCATAAACCAACCACAAAACGAGACAAAGAGATGCAGAACAACCACAGATGGAGGCAAAACGACCACAAGGTGACACAAAACATCTGCAAAGGGAAGCAAAACAACCACAACAGACACAAAATTACTCAAAAAAGACAAAATTTAAAAAAAAAATCATCTCCAGCAGTTCGCTGTCTTTAGGATATTTTCTGAGGTCCTTCGTTCCTCCCAGAGACTGTACATGTGGGAAAATGTTCTAAACCATGAGGAGGAGAATGAATGACCATTAAACCATGAAGCAGCCTGAAACCGTCCCCTCTTAATGGATGATGTTTAAACAAACTGCTCCAGCAGAGGGCGACAGAGACCCTGATCTGAATCTCACCTTCAGCTGCTCACTAACTTCCTCTTCCTGCTCGTGTCTGCTGATGTGTCAGTAAATAACTTACCTGAGCTCCGGTGGAGTTTATCAGGTGGAGCTTCCAGTATCTTCTGCAGAGGAACAGGAGGAACCTGAACACACACCTGGCTGCAGCCCCGCCCACTCACCGTCAGCACACCTGGCCTGAAAGACACACTGCACTTTTAGGATTTCCTGAAACATGAGAGTTAAACCAGACGTCGTGAGTGAAATGTGTCTGCAGACCTGGAGGCTGCCCGTCCAGGAGCCGTGGTGGTGTGGAGCGCTAGAAACACTCCTGACAACAAAGCTGTCGTTAGCCCGCTAAAGTGTGAGAAGCTAAGTTTTAACTCGTCATTAAACCTGCCAACCCAGACGCAGTTTGTCCAGATGCAAGTCTGAGCTACCAAGTTATTATTTTTATTGTAATAAGCAGTATTTTGGGTGGAATAACTCTTTCAAACCTTAGCTCATTAGTTAAAAAGCACCACTTGGGCGGAATAAGTACTTGGAGATGAAGTCGTGCTTTATGTGGACGACTCCTTGGATAAACTTTTTAAGTCTATTTTGAGTGAATTCATCCTTTAAACCGTGAGCGTGCAGCCGGCAGACCCGTTGGACGCCGTGGGTACCTGTAGTAGCGGCGTACGGCGGTGTGGGGCAGACAGGGGTAGCAGGGGCTGTAGATGCCGTTAGCGTCGGTGTCGAGCTCGGCGGAGCAGCGACCGCAGCCGGTGTAGGTGATGTCGCCGCTCAACACCTCCACAACGCCGTCCAGCGGCGTGGAGCTGTCCAGGACCACCTGAGGTGCATTCTGGGAGGGCGGAGCATCCTGGAAGTGGAAGGTGATGAGCTGGACCCGGAGCTCCACCTCACCTGGTGGAGGAGAGAAAACACCTGTTGAGCTCAGACGTCAGGTAGAAACCGCCGTCGGCTGTCGATGCTGCTCTGGGACTCACCGCTGTACTTCTGGGACAGCAGCGTGTCGACGTCCAGCTCCAGAGCGGCGCTACTGCTACCGCCTTTCTGGTGGCGTTGTGTCCGGTGGAAGTCCTGAACCCGGCGGTCGGTCGGGTCCACGGCCCGGACGGAGCTCCAGGGGGTGGAGTGCAGCTCCAGGAGGTCGGAGGCCAAACCCTCCCTCACCAGGAGGACGTGGAAGTCCCACACAGCCGCTGAACAACATGAAGGATTGAAGATACTTGAACTGAGCCTCTATGTGCAGAACTGTGACTCGACTTCTACAGAAGACTGAGCAGATAACTGACCAACTATCAGAACATCAGTCGTTTTGTTCCCTTTGATCCACTTTCATAAAAGAAGGAACACAAATTTTTAATTTTTCAAGATGGCGTTCCAATGTTCAGTCCCATATATTTTCACACAGCATAGTCTTGTTGGTTTGCTAGATTTTGGTGAGAAAATAGATGTAATTTAGCATTTAGAAGCCAAACGTCTGAACACAATAGCTGACATCTTACCAGCTGGCTTTGGGCCACTGGTGCAATCCGACGCGGATCCCAAAACACAAGCTCGTCCTGATCGTCGCTACAGAACGGATCAGAGAAGCTTTTCTACATTCTTTTGAAATCCAGGCAGCGATTAAATGTTTATATGTTGTGTAAGTTCTAATCTGACGCTAACCTGTAAACGCTATTAGAATGAAGCAAGCACGTGTCGGTGTACGACCTTAACTACAGCAAAATCTTAATTCAAAGTCTCATATTTCAAAGAACCTGCTTAATCCAAAGTGTTTTTAGGGTCACAGCTGTGTCAGCGAGCTTGAAATAACTCTCGCCAACTCAATTTAAATGAACTATTACTATGTTTAGAAGGTTAATTGATGCTTTTTGTCCCCAGAATCTAATTTATTTTATTAAACAATGTTAATATCATACAAATTCGGTAATCAAGTTAAAAAAAAAAGTAAAATAAAAATGACGCCACTGTCCACCATCTTGAAAAATGGCCGTCATTATCCAAACAGACGGCCTGTAAGTAACGTCAGCTCTCTGCCTCACTTTAGCGACTTCACTCAGACGTTATATTTCTCGTTGCGTTCGAGTACCTCTGTCTCTGCTGAAGCGAGGCAGCCAGTCCACCGCTGCCCCCCACAGCAGCAGCGCCCCCTGCTGGCCGTCCGGCTGCTCCACGGTCACGACGGCCTTCAGCTGAACCGCCGACCGGCTGCGGGACTCCGCCTCGCTCCGCCACTCTGACAAACACGAGAAACACCGTTTCAGCACCCACCTGTCCAGCAGCCGTCCCACAACAGAGGAGCGTCTCCGTGGAGTCGTGAACTCATTCTGCAGGTCTGTTGGGTTTTTGCTGCTGGATGCAAACAACATACTGGACTCCACAGTCAGCTGTGGATTCCAGCTCTCGCAAAAACACTGGAGACACTCGTCACAGGTCCAGACTCGTACGCTGAGGCAAGACATGACTCGAGCCTCACAGCAGTAAGATGACCAGGACAGGTACAGGTCATTGTAGCTCCGCCCACCGTGACTCACCTGAGCTGAAGTGTGTGTGCGTGACGCGCAGCAGGGCGTGAACCAGCGTGTTGACCTTCAGTGACCTCAGGGTGGCGTAGGGGAGGCGGCTCAGGTCCTGAGGAGGGCGGCGGGGCAACGACACCAGCAGGGGGCGCCGCTCCCGAAGGAAACGACTCAGAGAGCTGAGAGAGCGAGCGTCAATGTGACGGGTAGCTACAGAGAGAGAGAAGGAGGTGAACCACCTGAACACACCTGAGGAGGAGGAGGCTTCTGATTGGTCGAACGCTACCTGGAGGCGAGGCGGAGGCGGTGATCTGACCCAGGTTGAGCAGTTTGCTGCTGAAGGTGGACTGCAGCACCGTCTCTCCTCTCCACCTGTCCTCGTTCACCTGCAGCCCTGAGCAGCGGTGACAGAACACCTGAGACACACCTGGGAGGGGCCACACCTGCACTTGTGTATCATCATGTCCTAGCGAATAGTGGTCAGCGGTTCCTGTAAATCTGTACTTCTGTACCTGTGATGAGCAGAACATCTCCAGGACACACAGTCAGAGTCCAGAACGCCGCGCGCCGCCACAGGACCACTTTCATCTCGACGCCTGATTGGTCCGTCACCACGATGGACGCCAGCGCAACGAAGGTTCCTGCTGACGGCCCGGACTTCACCTTCAAACATCAAACTTATGAGAAACCACGATACTCACCAGCTAATCCCAGTTTTAGATGTTCTACAACACGTTTACTCACCTTGATCTCCTTCAGATGACAGGGGTGGACCACCGCCACCAGAACCGAGTGCCGCACCCCGGCTCTGACACACTGGGCCAGTAGTGTGGTGGGGCTTTGGAGGCCCCTGGTGGTGGTGATGGTGCTGTCAGGTGCTTCGTCCTCGGAGACTCGAGCTCTCTTGCTGCTGGGGGACTTAATGGGGGAATCGTGGGCGGTCGCATCTTCCTGAGAACAGAGGACGCCATCCGTGGTGGCCTCCAGGACGACGCCTCCTTCCTCCACCCTCGGGGTCGGACACGGGTGGCTGAAGAGCTCGGCGGAGGCTCCAGGTGACGGGGTGGCAGGGCTGAAGAGCTCAGGGGTGCTGGAGGAGATGGACGGAGGCGTGGAGCTGTGTTTGGGCGGGGTCTTCTCAGGGCTGGATGCTGATTGGACGTCGTGCCTGCCTCTCAAGATCAATGCCTGACTTAGAGTCCAGGTGGTGAGGTAGTGAGCGTGGGCGGAGAGAGGGGGGACGGCAGGGGACGACTGGTGATCGGAGCCAGACCTAGACTCGGATCCAGGTTCAGGTTGAAGTTCAAGTTCAGGTTTAGGTTCAGGTCCTGGTTTTTCTAGTGCTTTTTCAGCTGTGGGGAAGCACCTGTCCAGATACTCATGAACCGAAGCCGAGCACCGATCCTCAGGACCCGGTTCTACATCTGCGCTCAGAGAACGTGCGTCAGAACACACGTTGAATTTTTCCTCGAGTCCTCGTGTTGTTTTTCTAGTGTTTCCTGGAAGGACGTGACTTTGTGACTCTACATCGTCCCCGTCGGCTCTTTCTGCTCCTCTGAATGAACTCGACTCATTTCCAGGCTCGTCTGAAAAGTCAGAAAAATAATTCCACTTCTGTTAGTTTGACAAATTCACCTTTTGTGACCCAATAAGTAAAAGGACTCCTGAGTTTTACCTGCAACATGTCACAAACAGAGACGTAAAGAAACTACAAAACCCTGAAATGATGACAAAAAACAACCAAAACTACCAAAAGAGACACAAAGGAAGCACAAACACACAACATTAGAAAAAAAACAACCACAAAAAACACAAATCGACACAAAAAGACCAAGAACATCCATAAACACACCCAGAAGTCCACAAAACAACCAAAATAGACACAAAATAATCACAAAGAGACAAAAAACAACCAAAAACTCCCAAAATACAGAAAAAAAATAACCACAAAGTCTCAAAAGAACCAGGAACAGACACAAAACAATTATAAAACCACATAAAATAACCACAAAAGAACAAAACAGCCACAAAGACACCCAAGCTGGCCAGAAAAATACACCGCCCTACTCGTCGGGGTCCCTGAACGCCTCACCTGCTGCAGGTCTGAGCCATCCGTCCCTCCAGGTGAGCTCCAGGTGTCTCCAGCCAGCAGGGGGACGATCCTCGTCCTCCATCCCGCCATCAGGCACCGAGGCTGGGCAGGAGGAGGGAGGAGGAGCCCCCAGGAAGACGTGGATCTTCTGCCGGTCAGACATTTTGCCAGCTGAGGAGACAGAAACGAAAAAAAAATAGATAAAAGTTTATAGTTAACAGGCCAGTTTTCAGTATTGTTCTGGTTCTTTGAAGCTAATATGGGAATTCGAACTCTCCGCCAGACAGAAAGCGAGCGTATTTTAGGAGGATATGTCAAACTATTTCTTCAAAACAAATCCACAAAGCACTCGTAAAAAAAACAACAAAACCTCCATAAAAACTTCCAAAACAATCCCAAAGAGACACAAAACAACCACAAAACACACCAGAAACCGCCATAAAACACACACACTGACCAACACAACTACAAAAACACACCGAAAAATTCCAACTCACACAAAACAACCACATAAAAACTTAAAACATGCACAAAAATCTAAACTTTTTAAAAAGACGGGCATAAAGACAAAACAAAACAACCAAACAGAAGCATAAAAGTCCCACATCGCTGCTCGAGAACCTCTCAAAAGTTCTTTATGTGGACTTCAAATTAGAAAACAACAACAACAAGTGGAGGAACAAATGAATGATGTATTTGTGCTGCAGACATCAGAGAGTCCAGAGTTACATAAGAACGGATGGACGTGTTGTAGCTGCAGCAGGATAAATGTCTCTCTGGGGTGTTTTTAAGTCAGACATGTTTGATGTTACACAACTATGACTAAGCACAAGTTGTGGATGCATCGTGCAGAAGGATGCAGCCGCCTGCAGCCCCACAGCTGGGAACAATAACCAGGCAGTAAACGCTCCATCAGCGGCTCCACCAATCAGAGAGGAGACGCCGGGGGGAGGAGGCGGCTCGCAGACTCTGGACCGAACCAACCACGAATATACACCAAACATCCACGCAAAGACGCAACAACAACCCAAAAGACACCGAAGAAAAATCACAAAAAGAAAAGGACACAAAACCACCACAAACAGACACAAAGCCATCACAGAAAACACAAATGGAGCCAATAACAAACACAAAAAGACCAAAAACCACCAGAAAGACACACAAAATGTCCATGAAAACACACAAAACAACCACAAAAACGCACAAACTAACCATGAAAAGACACAAAACATCCACAAAAAGACAAAAAAACACCACAAGTAGGCACAAAACAACCACCAAGAAACATATAAAGCAGCAAAAAAGATATAAAGACAACAAAGAGACACAAAGCAACCACTGAAAGGCAAAATACAACCATATAATACATTAAATGACCATAAATTAACACAACACAACCACAAGGAGTCACAAACTGACAACAAAGACATGCAAAACAACCACAAAACTGCCAAAAATGAGACACAAAATGATAACAAAATTATGCAAAACAACCAAAAATAGACACAAAACCACCACAAAAAACACATTAAAGCACACAAAGCGACAAGGAAACAGCTTTAAACATTAATTAACAGATAATATCGAGTAAAATCTTTAAAATGTCAAAACTGTAAACAACAAAAATCTGTGGTTTTATTCAGTAATTTGTTCTTTGATTATAAATTATGTGGTTTTAATGTGTTTCATGTGAGCATTTGTCTCATTTCTGTACATCAGCTGATGCATAAACTCTGGTTGTGTGGTTTTGTGGTTGTCTGGTTGTGTGGTTGTCTGGTTGTGTGGTTTTCTGGTTGTCTGGTTTTCTGGTTGTTGCAGGTGCAGCAGGAGGCTCCTTCAGTCGCCGGCCTCCTCGTTTATTCGTCTCAGCTTCAGTTTCACCGACTGACTTTCTGCAGCTGCTGCCGTCGGTCAGGACGAAGCGAGACGTGATGAAAACTGCTCCATCAGCTGGACGCTACCGAGAAATCTTCTCAATGAAAAGCCCGGCTCGTGTTTTATGGTGGAACTACAGGAATCCAGCTGGTTTATGACTCCTGACATTTCATTTGTCTTCACAGGTTTCTCACTGCTTCACAGATTATACCACTGCTTTATATTTATGTCTTTAAATCTAATATATAAAGCAGGTTGAGTCACTGAGAGACGGACGGACAGCACGTACAAACCGACTTATGTAACGAGCTCTAAGTTTAGAGGAGAACTTAAAACCTGCTCGTTATTCTGCAGGCTGCTTGTTAACCCCACTTTATTTTTAGAGTAAATAAATTCCTGTTATTTACCCTGAAACAGTCGACAACAGGTTCAGGCTACAATATTAACTTGCAGTGTTTGTATTTGTGTCATTTTAATTTGTTTTAGTTGCTTTAAGTGGATATTATTAGATCTTTTTTTAAAGTTTAAGTTTTTTGGTTTTCTTCTTTTTAAAAAAAAATTGTCAACATGTTCTGGATAATAATCTGCACAAAATAAAATAAATAAAACACATGAATGTTCACTGGCCAATTTATTATAAAGAATGCAGTGTATTTTTTTTGAGAAATCTTCCGGTTTAATTTTTTTTAATTTTTGTTTTTATTTTTGTGAATCACCTTGTGTCTGTTGCATTTAATACATACAAGGTTTTTTTTTTATTTCTATGAGGCTTTCCTGTAAGATAAAGGTAAAATAAATGTGGGTATGACTGAATCAAACAACCTCAAATAAAAAAAAAAACTGCTCTGATATTTCCAGGATAATATCAGAATAAAATAAAAACTTGACACTGACTCTGCTTCTAAAGCTCCGGAAGTCGTTCTGAATTATTCACTTAATCAAAAATTAAATTTATTTAAATCAAAACTGTCACATCGGCAATGTTTAGAAATTCTAATATTAATTTGAATAACACGGTTTCAGGTTATAAACTGTAAGTCTGTGTGGGTTAAAAACGTTATCTTTACTACTTTTAATTTATTAAAAAATTATTTGAAGTTCTTTTTGTTTTTATTTTGAACCCGGAAGTCCTGTTTGTCCTGATTCTAGCTAACTTAGCGCTAGCTTAAACAACCACAAAATTACAGAAAAAAACAGTCAAATAATGTAAATACGTTGCTGTCAGTGTTTCAGGTTTGTGTTTAATCATCTTTTATTCCACTCGGTGGATCTCTACGAGCTTCACGTGCAGCTTAAGCGCGCGTCAACAACTTTCCTCGGAGTTTCGGATGCTAACGTTAGCTTTAGCCGCAGAACCCGTCTCGTGCGGAGAGAGTTTGAACACAGCCGCACGTGCCGCGCTGTCACGCTCCGCGGCCCGGTGTCGGTTGACAGGAAGAGGCGGCGGCGGGAAGGAGGAGCCGCCGCTGCGGTGCCGCTCTGTGTTGTCGCCGCTCCATTTCCTCGTCTCGCCCCGAACTCTCCAGCTCCGTCCGGCTCTCTGCTCTCCCGGCGCGGTCAACTTCCACAAACTCCAGCATGTACCGATACTTCGGAGAGCTACTCACCCGGGGAGCCGGCAGCGTCCTGGCCTCGGGCTGCTCCGCCGCCTCCGCCGCCGCCGCTGACTCCGCTCTGCCGGCGTCCGCGTCCCTGCTGCGGTACCGCGGCTACAGCCAGGCCGTGGACCGGGACGACGACCCGAACTTCTTCACCATGGTGGAGGGCTTCTTCGACAAGGGCGCCGCTATCGTGGAGGACAAGCTGGTGGAGGACCTGAAGACCCGGGAGAGCCCCGAGCAGAAGAGGAAGCGGGTCCTCGGGATCCTGCGGATCATCAAGCCCTGCAACCACGTCCTGAGCGTCAGCTTCCCCATCAAGCGGGACAGCGGCGAGTGGGAGGTGATCGAGGGCTACCGGGCTCAGCACAGCCAGCACCGGACGCCCTGCAAGGGAGGTGAGACCCGAACCGGCTCCGAGCCCACTGTAGAGGGAAGAAAAAGAAAGTTAGAGCTTCAGTTTGTTTAGTTTGTTGTTGCTTCTGTTTCCATTTATTTTGTAGTTTATTCTCTTGTTTTCACTGTGAAGCACTTTGGTAAAGGCCGATAAATAAACTGATCGATTGATTGATTGATTGATTGATTGATTGATATGCATTATAATAACTGACTAAAGATCAGATTTATCAACACGTGACTTATTTGAATCCATTTATAAAGAATGACTGGAATCAGTTTATACAGGAGTGCATCTGCAAAGAAAATAAAAATAAATAAATAAAAAAAAGCTAAAAGTTGACTTTATTATATAATATTTTCACATTAAAATGCCCCCAAAGCGACTAGTGTTGTATATTTAGTTGACAGTGTTGTTGTAATAACCGGCTTTGTGATCATTTAGATCAGATTTCCCACCAGATGACTTCTCTGGATCTATTTGGAGAGAGTTAGAATGATTGGGATCAGTTTGTAGAGGAGTGCATCTGCAGAGAAAATCAGAATATTAGATGAGATAAACTTTATTCGTCACTTACACAGTTACACACAGAACAATGGGCAGTGAAATGTGTTCAGTACCTGCATCCAGGTGCAGTAAAACAATAAAATAAGGTACCTAAAGTGTTCAAGAAATATAGATAAACCAAATCAGATCAAATCTAATCAATTAAAGCAAACTCACAAAAACTGAAACTGACTGAAATACATTTCTACAATCAAATGCCAAAAACTTACATATTTAACTGACTTATCTTATTGAGGACATCCCAGATGTTTTCACCAGACTGATCTTGTGATTGGTAAATCATACAAGATTTCTCACCAGATGACCTAAATTTGGAGAGAATTACTTATTCTAGAATGAATGGGATCAACTTATGCAGGAGTGCATCTGCATAGAGACTAAAATGATTAGAAAACAGCTCTACTATAACTTTAATATATAATATTTTCACATTAAAGCGACCAATGCTGCATGTTGAGGTGATTAATGCACTTGATTTTCTGTCACTTTTCCTCAGAGCCAAGTCAGAACCTAAAAATATTGACTTTTCATCGATTAAAATAAACAGAAAATCAGCAAATCTTTTTTATTTTTGAAGTTGAATGCGTGGAGGATTCCCTTAAACCAATGAGCTGATTGATGTTTTTGTTGATTTATGATGAGCTTGGATGAAGAAACGCCCTATAAAGTTGGTTTATGTTTTATATTTGTGCACTAATTAACAGCTTCTCGTTGGTGTTGACGTGTGTGTGTGTTGATGCTGCAAAAGATGAAAGAGCTGATCCCGGGTCAGAACCAGGTTTAATCTGATGCACCGCTGACAAAACAGATAATTATTCTGTCAGCATCCTGAAATGTGAAGAATGCGTCTGATGTCGCTGCTGAAACTCGGCTGATTTCTGCATTCTGTGTGCACTTTTTAAATATTCCCGTGGTATGAAGGAGTGGTTACGTAACGACGTGAATGGTTGGGTGCACGTTGGAGGGGAGCGTCGCTGGTGGTTCCTCCCCTGACAGGAATGCTGCCGGCCCGGTCGGCGTCCTGATGTGTGCTGAAGGTGGTGAACGTGTGTCCAGCTCTTCCTGCTTTCTGTCTGAATTCAGTGACATTTCTCTGCGATGTTTACTCAGAACTAAAAGCAGAGTGTTCACCAGGCTTGCTGAATGTCAAAGAGCTGCAGAGGAGATGGCTGGATGTCCTCGTGACGACGGCGGAGCCTCTTCTGAAGATGAAATGGGTGTGACGGCTGGCTCATGTTAACCCTTTGAGCATTTTTAGCCGCCGTTGGCTCGTTTTTCACGGCAGTAAAACGTCCTGCACCTCTGTGGAAACAGCACGGCCATGACTAGAAGGAGGGAGAACTTATGAATGTCTTTTCTGCAGCATGATGCACTTTTAATGCCCTGAATCAGAAAAAAGAGTCAAGCTGAAATACTTTGTTTATTTATGTTATTAAAACTGCAATCAACATGTGCAGCATTTTTACAAGAACCCAGACGTGTCCCTGATACTAAAGTCCCTACATGCTGGACATAGTTCACTACTTCAACTGTTTTTCTCACGACTCTGCACATCAGCTCCAGACAGATGTTTCCTCACACATGGCTGCATGGATTCTCCAACGACTTGTTGACAACGTGCTCCTCTGTGCACAGCTTTTGAGCCCCGCTGCATTTGTTTTATTGATCCGGTGCGTTTTATTTTCCTCGCAGTCTCTCTTGCAGTTCACCTGACTGCTGGTCAAAGGCATTTAGGGCCTCGTAGTTGATCTGAGGAGTAAACAATATTTACCTGTTTTTATTACAGGATTTAGTACAAACGCCTCATTTTTTAGGATTTTTTGTAGACAAGACAAAGAACAAGTTGTTTTTTTTCTTTAAATGTCACAGTTTTAAGCTTAGATTTGGTTTTCTAACACGTCACTACTGGGTAGTTTAAAACAAATCTGACAGTTCTTTCTGTTTTTACAGTTTATGGCTGATAAATGGTGTCACTTTGGCTTTTTTTTTTAAAGATCGTTCAGGATTCATGAGGTTAAAACCCATAATCTCAGTTATATTCACACTACTGCAGCGTTTCAGGAGCCAAAATGGAAGCTTTTGGAAACCAGGCCCTCTGTCCTGATTGGATCTTATCAGCTGTTCCCTCCTTCGTCCTGCTTCAGTCACGTGATTCTTATCCGGACGTTGATTTCTTTCAGTTCCACTTTGTTGTCCAGGCAGAGGAATCTTCTTTTTTTACCACTGATGTTCTTCCTCTGTAGTATTTTCTTCTACTGCCAACCCTCTGCTTCACGCTCACACCAGCACACGCATGTCCAGTGTTCAGACGTGTTGGTGCGATTATTTCTGAAACAGAGCTGAAATGATGGTGTAAATAGAGAGTAGGAGAGCTTAACATCTCTGCTGTGAAGCTGACCAGATTGTGGAAACTGTGCCGCTCTGAGAACGTTTCCTCCGTCTGTCCGAATAACTAAAGGAAGTGAAGCCTCATCATTCAGCGTTTTCTGTTAATGAACTCTTTACTTTGCTTGTCGTCCCGTCGGTCTGAACTCCAGCCGGTTCGTAGTCGTTTCCTCGACAGCGGCGACGGAGCGTCTCCAGGAAATCTCCAAGTCGCTGCTCCAGGCTAGAAATCACAGTGAGCCGAGTTAATCCCATCAGACTCTGCGGGAAAACCCTGATTTTAGGTGGAAGTCTGGCTCCAGTTCAGACCTCCTGCTCCTGGTGCTGATCTGAGGGCAGCAGTTGTAGATCAGACGCACTTTAACACGGCTGCAGCCCACCAGCTGGTGTTTGGATGACAGATTTTTCTTCTTAGCATTAAAAATATTAAGTTATTACACAATTTAATTTGTGAGTGTTTCCTCTTTTCTGTGAGCTTATAATATAGTAAACTCACTATTTTGGGGTTTTTGATTATTGGTTGTTCAAAAAAAAGTCATGTAACTCTCACTTGCAGTTTTATAGATCAAACAATTGATCAGTTAAGTGAGAAAACATCCCTGAAACCTAACGTTGCTTTAATGTGACTTTTTTTCTGCTTAAACTGAGCACATGAAACAGCTGATATGAACCCTGCAGGCTTAAAGCTGGACAGTGTTTCAAGAGACGAGGCGGCT